AGATCCAGTGACGACACCCAAACAGTTGTGAGTTCAGCACCAGACCACAGCAGTGGTGAACCAAAAACTTGGAGAGTTGAGTTAAAGGGAGATAACTGAGACATCCGGAAGAGGCATGGCACGTGGAACTAGAACAATCGATCCCGGCGGACGAAATAACGGTTTCGGTTCGAAATTCCAATCCGAAACGTTGTGAATATGGCAAGGAAGATGAGGATAACAGTTCGAGTAATGTAAGTAATACAGGCACTACGGAGAAGGACTTTGAACAAGCTGGAAAGCAAGACGTAGCGAGGTATTTTTTTTGTAAAATCTGCAGAGAAGAGGGCTCAAGAGCATATTACTTTAGGACGACGGCAGGAATCCGCTTGCTATATGGGGCTTAATTTTAAGATGACGCCAGAAATCAGTCAAGAGATTATATGTATATCTCTCAGTTTAGTCTCTGTTCTAGGGTGAAAATTTGGCAGAGGTACCCAGATGAGTCGAGAGTTGAGTTAGAAGGAAACTTCAGGGCAAAGCACAACCTTAACTGCAGTCGATACCATAACTTCAAGTTAATTAAAGATGGGAGGGACTGAGGATTTATTATTGTTCAACAAGCTCTTGCAGAGCCGCCAGTAATCCCTAGAACTTTACTTATGAGAGGCTATACGGTGTCTTATTCTACCGGCAAATAGGGACTTGGCTTCTTTGAGGACACGCTTGCACTCATAACGGGCAGCGACAAAGAAAAGACTGTTGCAATCAGAGCTGTCGCCATGGTATAGCCGGAAAATATGATTCCTGTCGGCTACAACAGCTGAGCAAATAGGTGAGAAACATGGAGGTTTTATTTTGGGATTTTCCAGCTGGAACGAAAGTTTCGATTCCAGCATTCACCCAGAAATAGATGTGGGTGGCACATTTCTAAACAGGATGATTATAAATATCTTTCAATAGGACATTACTTGGGAAGTCACTAAACGAATCCCACAATCTGCGCGTTGACAAGAGAAAAAAGTTCTGTTAATTGGAGGGTCATGACTGGTGAGAGAGCGGAAAGAGATATCAGTATTATCGGATTTTCTTTTACCCAAATGGTGTCCGCCTTCCGTACTGTCCTAGCTTCACTTAAGGTTCGTCAGGAAATGCCTATTTAAGACGAGGCTGACACGTCGACCTTTCCGGCTACGTCGGATTTTTCCCTACTAGGTCAATTGTTGATACACTGTAAACGCTCCCCAGTCAGTCGAAGATGAATGACAGGTTCAAGCTTTTTTAACCCACATAGGTCGTGTACCAAGTTTACTTTCTTTACCCACTCCACTACGGACCCAGAGCCGTCAAATCAGCTTGAGTTCGAAATTGCCGTCCGCCATCTTGCCGAAACAGTTTGTTCGGGGTTTTGTGAAGAAAGAAAACAAAATGAAAAGTTAGAAACCAGAACTGGCGGAATGTGATTTCGTTTACAAGGTGAAACTATATTCTTTCTTTTTCTCTGGCAAGACACCGAAATGTGACGAGTCTTCTTTTTCCTTTTCTTTGTACTTCCGTAGTTACCTCGACGCCTCTCAAAAGTCCTTCTCTCGCTAGTTTCGTCTTGGATCCCCGTCTGCGCATGTGCATTTTCAAAATTGCAAATGGCGGACCAAGCAAGCACAGCATGGTTGCCTTTTCGATCACGGGAAGTGTGTTTAATATTCGTGACAGTTTCTCTACCACTAATCCCAGAGGCTGGATTAAAGTAGCTTTTGGTTGAAAGCTCAATCAACTAAAGAATTTCTTAAACAAAATCGTTGCCTCTGTGTTTGACATAAGGTAATGGAGATGGCGGATTTCAACATGGCCAACGTCACTTCCCTCTCTTGAACAGTTTCGTTCGCTATAATCTGTGTCGTGACGAAGCTGAGAGAATTCAAATTTATGTTGTTTGTAGAAAAACAATAAAGAAGCTAACAAGAATTAATTGAACTGACTTCATCAGCATTTATATCAAATGCTGGGTATGGTTTTCGGGATTCTTAAAACTCATGTCTGCGATGAAATATTAAAATGGGTTTAACTCGGACAACTGAAAAATATCCGGGTGATTACAATTTTTCTCTCCATTTCATGTGTGGATATTCGAAGTCCGGAAAATCGATGTACGGATGATCGGAGATCTACTGTATTATCACCCACATCCTCCATCTCAAAGTTTTTGTTGGCAAAGATGATATATCGAAATGGTTTTAGTTCGGATAATTGTTTATCTATCTATCTATCTATCTATCTATCTATCTATCTATCTATGCCTGTTCATATCTATATCAGGAATAAGTTTTCCTATTCCATTCTACCACTCGAACTTTGTTTATCATTCGACATGGTTGTAAATATCTCTTCCTTGAATTCTTCTACGCTTCACTTTCTGTATATATCTTAGTTTATCAATCTGTCTGTTTTGTATATTTAGCTATGTCAGTTAATCTATCACTCTATCTATCTATCTATCTATCTATCTATCTATCTATCTATCTATCTATCTATCTATCTAACATTAATTTCAAGTCTATCTATATATCTATCTCAGCCTATTCATATCTATCTCAATATATTCATATCTATCTATCTATCTATCTATCTATCTATCTATCTATCTATCTATCTATCTATCTATCTATCCCATTCTGTTCATTATCTATCTATCTATCTATCTATCTATCTATCTATCTATCTATCTATCTATCTATCTATCTAAGCGTATGAAATTGTAAGCCAATTTCTGTCATTATTGTAATATGTATATTCTACATGTCTATGAATTTGTCTTTTTACACACCCTGACACCGCCATCATATATATATATATATATATATATATATATATATATATATATATATATGCATATATATCTAAAAATGTGCCTTTTACGTATACACATACAATTGTATGACTACATAACTAATAACTACATACATACATATATATATATATATATATATATATATATATATATATATATATATATATATATATATATATATATGAATGTATTTTTCGAGATTTACTTACACACTTGTACATTTGATTATGATGGACTGTAAATAGAAATTAACATATCGGAAGTTCTCTAATAAAAATCACGACTGCTTCAATTATATTTTGCCGAAAGGAGACATTTTGACCTGCAAAACGTCTAATCGTTGCAAAAACCTTTCCTCTCGACATTAATAATATCATGGCGGCTCTAATATAGAGTCTAGCGTTCTCTTTATTGCCACTTGTGGCTGTGGACGGTGTAAAGTCGATTAAATGTTGACCAATATCGCTGGCTGTTATCACCAGATGGTGACATCAAATTATACGCATGTTTTTTTTTTGTTATTATCAAAGCATGCAAATATGGTTTGGACGAGAATTAGTCAACCTTGTTGAATAACAGATTGATAATCGATAAATATGGCCGGCTAAACGTTTAGCGTACAATTTCATACAATCTGCTTCTGCCATTTTGTTCACTTGTGGAAGGGAAGTGGTTGAGATAAAATGGCGTGTGGTACTTTTCGCGCGCAAACAGCTTTCGTCTATTCTATAGCTTTAGACTGGAGGAAAGAAAACAAGTAAGAAAGAATAATAGGAATAAATAAACAAAGGAAAGAAGGAAAAGAATGAAGAAAGAAATAAAGAAAGGAAGAAAGAAAGGAGTGAATAAAGAAAGAAAGAAGGAAATGAATTAATATAGAAAGAAAGAAAGAAAGAAGGGAATGAATGAATAAATAAATAAATAAATGAAGAAAGAAAGAAAGAGAGAAAGAATAAAAAAAGGAAAGATGAAAGAAAAAGAGAAAAGAAACAAAAGAAGAAAAATGAAAAAAAAAAGAATAAAAAAAAAAGAATGAAAGAAGGAAAAAAATGAATAAAGAAAGATAATGAAAAGATTAAAAAAAAAAAGAAAAGAAAGAAAGAAAGAAAGCATGAAAATGATGAAAAAAAATAAATAAAGAAGAAAAGGAAAATGGATGAAAGAAAGAATGGAGAAAGAAAGAAAAAAAAGAAGAAAAGAAAGGAATGAATGGAGAAAGAAAGAAAGAAATAAGGAAAGAAAGAAAGAACGGAAAAAGAAAGAAAGGAATGAATGGAGAAAGAAAGAAAGAAAGAAAGAATGAATGAAGAAAGAAAGAAAGAAAGAAAGAAAGGAATGAATGAATAAATAAATAAAGAAAGGAATGAATGAATGAATGGAGAAAGCAAGAAAGAAAGAAAGAAAGAAGGGAAAAATAAAGAAAGAAAGAAAGGAATGAATGGAGAAAGAAAGAAAGAAAGGAATGAATGAAGAAAGAAAGAAAGAAAATGAATAAGAATGATGGAGAAAGCAAGAAAGAAAAAAGAAAGAAAAGGAAAAATAAAAATAATGAATGAATGGAGAAAGAAAGAAATGAAAAGAAAAGAAAGAATAATGAATAAATAAATAAAAGAAAGGAATGAATGAATGAATGAATGAATGGAGAAAGAAAGAAAGAAAGACAGAAAGAAGGGAAAATAAAGAAAGAAAAGAAAGAACGAAAAGAAATGAATGGAGAAAAGAAAAGAAAGAAAGGAATGAATGAATAAATAAAGAATGAAAGAAAATGAATGAAAGAAAAAAAAAAGAAAGAAAGGAATGAAAGAAAGAAGGGAATAATGAAAGAAAGAAAGAAGAAAAAAAAAAGAAGGGAATAAAAATAAAGAAAAAAAAAGGGAATGAATGAATAAATAAATAAAGAAAGGAATGAATGGAGAAAGAAAGAAAGAAAGAAAGAAAAAAAAGAAGGGATGAAAGAGAGGAATACAAAAGAAGAAAAAGAAAGAAAGAAATAAAATATTAAAGAAAGAAAGAAAGAAAGAAAGAAAGGCATAAATGATGAAAAAAGGAATAAATACAGAAAAGCAATGAATGTAGAAAGAAAAGATTAAATAAATAAAGAAAGAAAAAAGTGAAAGAGAAAGGAATAGATAAATAAATAATGAAAAAAAAATGAAGGAAAAGAATAAATCAATCAAAAAAGAAAAGAAAGAAAGAAAGAAAAAAGAAAAAGAAAGAAAGGATTAAATAAATAAATTATAAAGAAAAAAGAAAGAAAATTGGTTGTTAGTGAGATTGTAAACGAATAGATTACTTTGTAGGAAAGAAAGTAAGTCTCTTTCTGGCTTCCCTGATCTTTCAACTTAGTAAATAGCTCGGCTATTGGGAAATATGTTTTTTATTGAGTCAAATAATCCTCGGATCGGATGTGACTAAGCAGCAACAACTAATAAGCGATATTGATTTGTAACACGTTGCAAACTTAGTAAATAACCCCTTAAAACAGCCAAATCTCACACTAAACCGAGATGATTACATTTACACAGCTGGTTAGCCCCACTAAATAACGGAGAACATTTTAAAGTAATTTAAAGATCTTGTTTTTATTATGAAAAACAAAAAAAAAAGATAACAAAACATTATCTGTTGACGTTCATCTCCATGTCCTAGATAAAATCCAGAGACGGATATGCAATGTGATAGGTCCTGATCTGGCATCTCGTCTATAGTCACTTTCTCAACGACGTGATGTGGTTCCCTCTGTCTTTTCTACGAATATTTTCATGGCAACTGATCTGACGAGGTACTTTCACTGATACCGCAACTGAATGAATTTAAGCGTGCTACTAGATTGGCATCTCCGTCCCACCCTTTCACTGTCGAAACAGTTAAATGTAACCGTCTCTTCTACCCACCAACAGCTTCTTCTCTCGCACTTCCCGACAGTGGAACTCCTTTCTTATTACTTCCTTCCCTGATAGCTATAACATAAATAGACATGACAATGAGATAGATAAAGAGACTTAGATAGATAGATAGATAGATAGAAGAACAAAACAAGATAGATAGATAGATAGATAGATACCAGAAAGAGATGGATTGATAAAGATGAGAAGAACAAAGCAAGATAGATATAGATAGATAGATAGATAAATAGATAGATGAGAAGAACAAAGACTAAGATATAGATAGATAGATATAGATGGATAGATAGAAAAAAGAAAGATGGATTGATAAAGAGACTGAGATAGATAGATAGATAGATAGATAGATAGATGATATGATCTGACAATATAGATAGATAAATAGATGCCAGAAAGAGATGGATTGAGAATGAGATAGATAGATAGATAGACAGATAGATAGATGGATAGATAGATAGAAAAAAGAAGAGAATGATGAGATACAGACTAGGATAGATATAGGATAGGTAGAAAGAATGAAAGATAGAAAGAAAGAAAATGAACAGAATGAGATAGATAGATATGAACTGAGATAGATAGATAGATAGATAGATAGATATGATCTGAGATAGATAGATAGATAGATAGATAGATAGATAGATACCAGAAAGAGATGGATTGATAAAGAGACTGAGATAGATAGATAGATAGATAGATAGATAGATAATGAATAGAACAGAATGAAAAAAAAGAATGAGATAGATGAGATATGAACTGGATAGATAAATAGATGGATAGAGAAAGAATATGAGATAGAAAGAAAGAAAATGAACAGAATGAGATGAGATAGATGAAAGATAGATAGATAGATAGATGGATGAAAGATAGATAGAGAATGAGATAGATTGATAAAGAGATGGATTGATAAAAGATGATAGATAGATGGATAGAATAGACATAGATGGATAACAGATAGATGAAAAAAGGAAGAACAGGATAATGAATGTGAACAGACTAATAGATAATGAGATAGATAGATAGATGAATGAATGATAATGAAAGATGAAAGAAAGAAAATGAACAGAATGAGATAGATAGATAGATAGATAGATAGATAAATTTTGCTGAGACTTCCTGACACCGAACAGTTACAAAAAGTTTCATCTACAGAAAACTCTGATGGATAGATAGATACTATCTAGAAAATGTCTATCATCTCTCTCAATTCTTTATCTATCCATCTCTTTCTGGTATCTAATATACAACATACTGAAAATAGATCAAACGCGTTAAAAATGAATTTCAAGTAAAAAAGAAACCTGTAGATCGAATATCTTAAAAATAAAAAGGCTGGCTGGAATGTCGTTTCAAGTGTAAAAATTCAATAGAAAATATATCCATTGAAAGACAATATGAATAAAGACAAAAAGAAAATTTCTTTTCACCCTCGAGTTTCTTCTGATAAACTTTTTCAAGTCAAATGTTTGATTTTCGTTTCAATAAGTATTTAGATAGATTAAAAAAAATTAAGATGTTTAGATTATTTTAGTTTCAGATGAATAGATTTTATTTTAAATAACAGATGGTTTTGAATTTAACCGTTTTATTTTAATTTAAAAAAGATTCTATAGTCACGTATATTGGCTTGGGAAAGAAGTAATTCTTTTAGGATTAAGGAAGGAGATATTTGAAAAAAAATTCGTGTCGCAAATTTATATTTTTGAATTTCAATAAAGATAGAAAGAATCTCTTTTAATAATGTTATTTTGATGGAAGTTGTGTTTACATTTATTTCTATGTAGTTTAAAGTGAAATTTATTTTTTTCCGGTTTAGGAATCGACCTGAGTTCTTTATCAGTTTTAAAACTTCTAGGAAAGGGTTGAAAACTTCTTCAATTTGGGTAGAGCCGTTTTACAATAATATTATCTTAGTTTAAGAAATTTATTTATTAAGTACTTTATTTTAAACTAGCAGTAGAGCCCGGCGTTGCCCGGGGATGTAACAGTAAGAGATAGATCAAGTATCAACCATCATAAAGACTGAAAAATAAAATTGACAAAGATTATTGTTTAACGTTGACGGACACGCATGTCTTAATTAGTTGTTTTTTTTTTTTACGAATTGGTCAAACCCAAACTCAAACAAAAACATTGTTTTCAATCGTTATGAGTCTACCGATTGAATAGAATTTTATTATTAACAATTGTCTTGTAAATGGAATTTTTAAAACATTCTAAATGTAAAAATAAAGAAAAAAAAGTGTGCAAGACAATAAGAAACACCACCTGCCAAAAAAAAAAAGTGAAGTTTTCTTGAAATCGTTTTGAAAACTGTAGGAAATCCGATCCCATATATAAAAGAACACACACACACACACACACACACACACACACACACACACACACACACACACACACACACACAACCTGGGTTTTATAATAAGTATAACTCGATATGAGTTGTCCCCCTTTCATTAATGCCTCTTAATCGTGTTTTCAAATTGATTTCGTGCAAAAACAATTGTGTTTTTCCAATTTTTGGCGCTGTCAGAACCACTGCAAGGTAATTTTACGTAGTCCTGTGAAGTTTTGTTGAAATCGGTTGAAAAATATAGGAAATCCGATCCAATATATAAACGTACACACACACACAATCTGCGTTTTATAATAAGTATGATAAGAGAAGGTTATTTATGGATAAATAGCAGATCAGTAACTTAATTCAAAAATCAGCCTGTTGAGGGTTGGCCTCCGCCAGGCTATATTGCCAAAGAATAACCACTTCTGCTGCGGCTACAACCCTGTAGGGTCACGGGATCCCAAATCGTGACGAGTAATGCATTTGTAAAGTTGTTGTGTATAAGATCTTTGAACGTATCCATGAACACGAAAAGTTTGTTACAGATAACAATTTAAAATTTACTTTGATAAAGTCAATCGGCTGAGATGTGAGAGAGAGAGAGAATCTGAGAGTATATTGTTTTTAGTGAAATTGGAGTAGATTTGAATAGCAAAATTAAATCAGAGCATTTTGTTTACTGATGGGAAAATCTGATCTAGGGCAGAAATTGTACCAATTGAATCTGGGTCATCAGGAGACAATGGAAATGGTCGAAATAATTTTTATCGATTAAAAATTGAATTCTACATGATAGCAAAATCTATACCAAAATATAACTTTAAGAACATTACAAACATAAAACACACATATCTCCACCTCTATTAATTATGTCCACACAAACATCTATATGCATAAAATCTGAGTATCATCTACCATGTATACAATTGTGAAAGTAGAATAACATATATCACATTTTTACTGCGTCAAAGGTAAAAAATTCAAAATTGGTTGGTCTGTTCTACATAATCTTCAATTTCATATTCACCTGAACTTGGATTACCTGAATATAACCTTTTTTTGACCGGTAAAAAATGCTTTGATGGAGAAAACAAGGACGCATGGCACAGCGGATATAGGCGTTGGTTAGATCCACTGACAGGACCTAAAGAGTGTGAGTTCAATACCCGGTTAAGGCAGTGGAGAACTTGGAGAGGGAAATTAACAGGAGATAACTGACAATTGACATCCATTAAAACATGGCACGTGGAACTAGAACAGTCTACCCCAGTGAGCGAAATAAAGGGATCAGTTCGACATTCCAAACACCTGAAGAAGGCCGGAGCGTACAACCGCCGAAACGCTGTAATACATATGGTGACAATGATGAGGACAATAGTCCGAATAATGTAAGTAGTGTACATGATACCTCATCTCAGAAATATAGACAGATAATGAGAAAACAAAAATTCATCAAAAACGTTTTCACATCAAAACCTTCAAATTTTTTTCCCCAAACTTTGAAGAGCTGCCTGATAAGTGGAATGAAATCATTGTAAATAAGCGTATAGCCAATATATATATATTGTAAATAAGAGTATATATATATATATATATATATATATATATATATATATATATATATATATATATATATGTCTTCTTGTGAATGTCTGATGACAGGATACCCAAGATTCTAATGTACAGCCAGTTAGATCAGGGCTACAGGAATGTAGGACGCCCATGGCTAAGATACAAAGACAAGCTGAAAAGCAACTTGTCAGCAGTCAATATACCACATAACACCCTTGAGCGCTTAGCCTTGGAGCGGGTAGAATGGAGATCAATGTGTTTTAGTGGACTCAGCAATTTTTAATTTGCTTGTCTGAATCATCTTCAAGAAGCGAGAGCAAGATCTAAAAGGTCAGCCAATCTAACAGTGATCTCATCTCACAATCCTCACACTTGCTCCATATGTGGCCTCCTTTGTAAATCACTGGCGGGTCTTAAATGCCACTTAAGATTATCGCACAAAATTTCATAACTGAATCAATAAGCTGTCAGATCCTCATACGTCGAAACCGACGGGAGAGTCCATTATATATATATATAATATATATATATATATTTTAGGATATTAAAACATGGTATTTAATTGTTCTAATTTTACCTCTCTCTCTCTCTCTATATATATATATATATATATATCCCTGACGATCCGCTTAGGCGAAACCTTGGTAGGTTTGTCTGGCTCTCTAGGTTTGACTAGGTCTGCTCTACTTTTGTATTGAGCACTTTTAAGTTAGTTGATTACTCGTATCAGGGTTTTTTTTCTTTGGGCTTTGGACCTGTATGCTGTACGATTATTTTCGACAGACGTTCATGTTCTTAGCTCTTTCTTTTTATATATATATATATATATATATATATATATATATATATATATATATATATATATATATATATATATATGTGTATATGTAATTGCCGAAAAAGATGTTAAATTTATAATACATTACAGAAAATGCAAGAACGCAAACCTTGTCGCTAAACAAAATAACCCCATCAAATCTAAACTAGCGATGGCCTATATAGTCTATTAATTTCACTGCCCAGTTACAAATCAGTTACCTATATCGGAGATGCTGTCACCTCGTTTAGTAGATGCCTGACATGTCACTTATCAGAACAAAGTTCTACAAAAATATCTATCAACGCACAGATAATAAATAATGAATAAAATACTTTTCGTATAATTAACTGTACACAGATGCTTAACTAAATATGCATTGAAAACAGAAAAAAAATTGACTTAATAGAAATAAATTCCATTTATCCATTTTAATGGGTGAAAAAGTATTTGTACAATACAAAAATGAATACATAATCTTCATTTAATACTTTGTAGAATAGCCATTATTCCCTTCTACAGCAACCAACCTCTTGTAGTTCTCAATGATTTGCAAATTTTAGTTGCTATTTTGTTCGATTCTTCTTCGCATATAGTCTTCAGATCCGGGATGTTTGTTGGAGCTCTCGATTGGATTTGAATTTTCAAATAACTCCACAGATTCTTGATTGGGTTTAAATCTGGGGACTGACTTGACCATTTCAGGATATTTACATTATTTTCAGCAAGCCATTTCTTCATAGATTTTACAGTGGTCTCAGGATCATTATCTTGTTGGAGGAAGTTCAAGATTTTCAACCAAAATCATTAAATTTGCTTCCAAAATATTTTGGTAGGCTGCAGCATTCATTCTGCCATCTATTACTGATATGTTACTAGTACCTTTTACAGAAAAACATCCCCAAACCATGATGCCGTCATCATCAAATTTCACTGTTGGAACTGTGTTCCTTTGTTTGAAGGCATCACCATCTTTCCTCTGTACATGATTTCTAAAATTACGTCCAAACAATTCACTATTGGCTTTGTCTGTTCATAATATTCTTTCCCAATACGATTTTTTCTTATCCTTATGTTCATGAATAAATTTTTACCTGACATCGTTGTGTCTTTTCAATAGCAGTCGAGTTTTCCGAGGGGAGCGTGACATCAGATTGTTCATATGAATTTTATTGGTTATTGTCCATTTATTGACACAGATTTCTGATGTAAGCAAATCTTTCTGCAACTCGTGACGGGTAACCATTGGATTTTGTTTAATTTGAAGCATTAATTTCCTCGAAGATCTTGCAGAAACCTCCCGTGGAGTACCTGTTCTTTGGTTTTTCCAACAGTTTTGAGATTTTATACCTTGCAATGAATGAACTAATGGTAGTAAATGAAATATTCAGGTTGTTTGAGTTTTTCCTGTCCTGTACTTTTACCTTATTTCCAGAGCTTACCAATCAGTTCTTTTTGCGAATTTGCTAATTCTTGACCTCTTTCCATGATGAAAACCTTCTTGCACGAATATCAATTACAGAATTTTCTGTTTGCATTTTTTACGCTAAAAATAACTACTGATAACATTGTTGGAACATTCTAGAATATTCCACTTGAATAATTTAGTTTCCTTCTTTTATGTGCCGTGTCTCTACAGGACGTAAAGAATCATGGCTCTCCACTTCTTCCTTTCCCTTGTAGCTCTTTTGTCTTTTTGGTAGTTCTCACAGACTCTGATGTTAATTATAAGTTTCCTCTTTGTTTTCATCTTCTCCAAGACCTCATTGTTGCTTACATGTTTGGTCCATTGTATGCTTAGGATCATTCTGTAGAACCATACCTCTGTTCTTCATCTTTGAGGAGACCGTCCAGCATTCGTTGTCGTAAAGGAGGACAGATATCACGTAGTAGTACTCTTTGTTACCAACGCAACCCTCATGTCTTGTAATGCTCTGCCGAGGTTTTGGAATGCGTCTTTGGCCATCCTAATACGTCTTCGTATCTCAGCGTCGCATTTTCCGTCCTCTCTCAGAACACTTTCCCAGATACTTAAAGTACGGGTTCTTTAAAGACACCGGAAGAAAGAACGCGATATTCATGCCCAGAATGTTATCAAAAAGAGCAATACAAATGCAGAAGAACGTGCGCCTTTGTTTTATAGATTACGCGTTCGACAAAGTATTCCCCAGAGATCCGTTAGAACTGCTCAGCCATCTTGACATATTCGGGAAGAGACATTAAAATAATCAAAAACCTCAACTGACAGCAAACCGCCTGCATAAAGAAAAACAATCACAGGTGAGCAGAGATACAAAAATGCCTACCAATTAGTAAGAATAAAATTGTTGAATTCAACAAAGTTAAAGCTGCTATAGTAAACAGATGTCCTGTGTACCTACGCCTTCCTTGGCTGGGTAGTATCAGTGATAGGTTTGCTAAGCAGGTTTCTACCACAGTTCGACATTATTACTTTGCCGCTAACATTCATGTTGTTATCTCTGCCAAACCTGCCGTTCCGTCTATGCGTAAGGATGTTCACCCTCCACATAATAATAGTTCATTAATTTATTCTTTTAAACGTAGTTGTGGTTCACACTACACAGGGAGAACGACTCAAAGGCTGGATGTCAGAATAAAGCAACACGTCCCAACGAAAATCCGAACCTTTAAGTACAATGCTTCAGACATTTTGACCAATTCAGACGGGTCTTCCATCGCAGAACACCTAATTGTTATGGAGTGGTTTCACAGTGGAGGCTTGTATTTGTACTAAGTCGGTCCTAAAATAGGTTCGACGTACAAAACGTTAGGAACTTGATATAATAGGTAATAACGCAGAATAATCTAGTTGTGGTCGCTGATACTTTAGTATCCGACTAACTGACCGGCATCGACTGACTGACCGACCCACTCGTTACTCTTACTACTCCTACTTATTATAGGTGGGAGAGTCTATTAACTATAGAATAGGTGTGTTCCACTATAACACTAATAAATAGCCATAATTGTGTTGCTAGTTTTAGTGTGGACTCATTTACCATCCTTAGCAAGTCCCACTCGAATTACCACTTAAATGTGTTGGAGGACATCTATATTCTATCTTTAAAGCATT